CTGTGTTGCCAAAGAAGGGGGGCTGAACACCTTTTGCAGAGAACACCTTTCTGCGTAGGCGGCCTTCGGCCGCACTTAGGGATTATAACCCTCAGGCAGTAGAATTCTCCTTTCTGTGTTGCCAAAAAAGGGGGGCTGAACACCTTTTGCAGAGAACACCTTTCTGCGTAGGCGGCCTTCGGCCGCACTTAGGGATTATAACCCTCAGGCAGTAGAATTCTCCTTTCTGTTTTGCGAAGAAAAGGAGCTGAACACCTTTTGCAGAGAACACCTTTGTATATTTTTAATGCTTACTGGGTTATATCCTATCTTCTTTTGTCTCTCATTCTTTTGGATATTTTGGAGTTTGACAGCTGAACTCCTCCATTTAATTTGCATATGCAACCAAAGTCAGACGCGTGATTTTGAAGGTGTTTTTATTTAATGAATTGTGATTAATTGGTTAATATTAAAGTCGTAAAGCAAGTTATAACTAATCGAGTAAAGCGTAAAGTGAAGGGGAATACAAAAATGTATTGGTGAAGTGGTTGCTTTAAGGAAAATAGGAGTGATAAATGTACGCTAATTTCCGAATTTTACAAAAAAGGGCATATTTCAAACCCAATTTGTAAATAAATTAGTGACCAAAATTCACAAAAGTGAGTGTTAAAATAATGCGTAGATCCTTGACTACAAGTGTGTGGAATTTATAGTTGTGAGCGCTACTAAACCCCACCCTAGAATTCTTCTTTCTGTGTTGCCAAATAAAAGGGGCTGAACACCTTTTGCAGAGAACATATAACATTAATACAGTTGTTTTATTGCACTGCTGGCAGTTGTACTTAAACCGAACTATATAAAATTATACGCCAAATTAAAGGTATTTTTATGGTCTTTCCGATAAACATATTTGTTAATATAATTAATTATGTATTTTTTTGCGAAAAACATACATTTTTATAAAAAAAATTGACATAACTTCGTTTTTTTACTTTTTCTCAAAATATGTTTGCATTATATAAGCCGTCATCGATTCGCCACTTCTCGCTCGCTATGTTTGAGTTCCGGTCGCTTAACGAAAAATTTTGCATGTGAAAGCAACAACAAAGTTAGCTAGCACGGATAGACGATAGCGAGTTTGGTTGTACCTCATTGTGTTCGTTCGTTTCGCCACTCGCTAACTGTTGGCGAATCGATGACGGCTATACATAGATATATACATAGAATGAAAGGTCTTTCCAACTGGTTCCAACTGTGTCCATATTTTAAAAATCGGTTCAATAGTTTCCAAACTGTAAGCTTTTGGAAATGTTGGAAATTCCACGTTAAACCCTCCCGCCGTCAATTTGCACCAAAAAAAAGTTTACCATTAAACTCAGCAGAAAGGGGTGCACCACGTCCACCTTTTCTTTTTTCTCTAGCTCAAGGGTCGGTATTCTTTAGGTATACCTAAAAACTATACTGCCCGTCTCCACAGGATAAAGTTTATATCTTGATACATATGTCAGAATATAATTTGCCAATGGAGACCGCTCAATGCTCTTCGAGAGCAATATATATCAGAGCTTATATCTTGCCATCTATTGCCGGCAATTTGGTAGTTTGACAGCTACATTTTCATTTGCACGAAAACTTCGTGGCTGCAACATCATTATTTTAATATAAAAGCAAATATTGAGCTGTTTCCTGTTAAAATATTTGTAATTACGTATTTGGATGTAAAGTTGCCTATTTTCTAAATTTTTTAAGCGATTAAATTTGGCAAAAATACGTTTTCGAAGCTATCTTACAAATGCTTATATCAAGATATAAAAAGCCCACACAAATATTGCCACTGATATAACTTATATCTAGCGACCAAAATGACAGCTGGGCAGCCGCTACAACAACAACAACCCGACAACCTACCGACAGGCCCTCAACGGCATTCACAGGGAATCAGTCTCAAGTTATGTAGACTCCCGCCCTGTGAATGCCGTTCTAGGCACACAACCACCGGACGTGGACGGGACAGAACTTTGTCTGCCTCGGGAGACCCGCACAACAATAGCCCAACTTCGCTCTGGCTATTGCAGCAGGTTCAACAGCTACCGGAGCAGAATCAACGAGGATGTGCCCAACCACTGCCCGGCATGTGGAGAGTCGCCACATGACTCCCGGCACCTCTTCAATTGCCCTGAGAATCCCACTCACTAACGCCCCTGTCCCTATGGACAGCCCCTGTGGAAGTCGCGCACTTCCTGGGCCTCCTCTTAGCTGAAATAGACGACAACGATGATGGATGAACCGTCCCGTACGGGGCTTAGTAGCCGCTACAACAACAACGACGACAACAACAACAACAACAGCTGGGCAGCAATAAATTTTATCCGGTAATTCTCTAGTGTAGGGTAACAACCCCTAAAAAAGGTCCGGAAAAGTCGGGAGGGGTACCAAACGACGCGTTTCGGCCCCCCTATTAACAATCTGGANGGGGGGAGATAATATTATTAACCATTTAAAAGTTATGAACAAAAAACTTTTGTTAAATTTCGTTGTTTTCTATGAGCAATTACCACGTCAAAAATGCACTAAATAACCAGTTTACACTTTTAAAACACTATTAAAACGTCTCCGTCCACTTTTATTTTAAATATTTCTTTAATAAAACAGAGTAAACAAACTTTGCGCCTGCCAAAATTATTATAACCTCAAATCGCTGGTATTGCCACTTTATTTCACATTTCATTTGCGCTATTATACTCAGTTTACACTATACACTTCTTCTTCTTCTTATTATTTTACGTTCACCTAAATAAGATATTCTAACCAAAATATAATAGCAAATTTCGCTATACCATGGCAGCGCTACTTTTATGGTTTACAGTTATTTTAGCTGTAATTAAAAGTAAGCGTCATGGAGTGCCAAAAATGCGATTTTTTA